ATATTTAATTTTTTTTAAAATTATTCGTAATATCATGATTGTTCTTATATATAATTAATAAACATATTAAATGCAGGCGTAAAACTAAATATGTATTTTGATTTTAATTACTTAATTAATTTATTTCAATAAAAAAATTAAACTTTGTAAAATTAAAAATATTATATATAATAAAATAAATTCATTTATTATTTTCTTATAAGAAAAAAAAAATAAAAATTTTATTTTAATTTTGTTGATAATTATTTATTAAACGTAATTATTATTTTTTTTTTCAAGTTTTTTTATAATATATATATTTTTTTAAAATTTTTTTTTATTTAGATGTCTGATGATAATGATGAACCTATGCCAGTTGTAATTGAAGGTGACAAAAATGTAAGAAATGAAATCGTTCAGTGGTTAAGAAGTGGCAAAATTGACTTCAATTACAAAATCACTACAAATTTTTTTACTGGTAAAAAAGGAAATCATTCTGATGTAATTGATCTTTGGAGAGAAGATTATGAGACACCTGAAAATAAGAATAAGTTTAAAATCATGAAAATAACTAAAAAAAATAATTTAAAAAATCAACATGTTTCTGGTATAAAAGGTACTGATAAATCTGATAAAAGAATTGAGGTTTTTTTATTATGTTTTGATACTAGCGATGATGAAATTAATTATGGTTGTATTTCTGGAAATGTTTCAATTACATCAAATGATAAGGATATGATTGAAAAAATTAGAGGTCATCCTGAAGAATTAGCTGGTGCTATTTTTTCTAAATCAAATCCAGAATATAATGTAAATTTATTGGAAATTAATTTTTTTTTCTTTATATGTATTTTTTTTTATTTTATTAGAAAATAAATATTCCAATCAATTTTAACTCTGAACAAATTTTGAAACTACGCAAAACAAATCCAAACTATGAATATTAAAAAACAGTAAATAATTTTGTTTCTGATCCTGAAGTTTATGAAGCAATAATTGAAAATTGGATTGAGGAGTATGGTAAAAATATTAAAGATTCTTTAGAAAAAGATAATTATTTTTTTGAAATACGTACTTCTGATAATATTAAAATTTTTATTTTATTATTTGTTCAAAAAAATGAAAAAGAATATCGTTATATTAGTATTGATTTTAAAATCAACAAAGATATTCTCGATGATTATTTTTTTATTTTGTTAGAAAATAATTGTAAAGAATATAATTTTCAAAATAATTATATTAAAGAAACAAAATAAATTATAAAATAAAATAAAAAAAACTATAAATATAAAATCTATATATTATATCTATTTCGATTGCCAGTAATTTTATCATGAGCTAACTTGGATTCGATTGCTTCTTCTTTTGTCTTAAAACATTTTACTTTATATTTTTTGTTTTCAAGCCATTGAAATCTCCATCTTTTATCTCTTTTACCAAATTTATAATAATGAATTCCATTTATGCTACTTGTATTATTTTTTTGTAATCTACAGTTTAAAGCATTTTGACTATATGTTGTTTCTCTTAAATTATATTTTCTTTTGTCTAAACCTGAATGATTGATATGATCAATCATCTTCCATTCAGGATGAAGCAATTGATGAAATAGTAATTTTTTTATTTTGTTATTTCTTTTAATATTTGTTATAATATAATATGTATAAGATCTTTTAAAAAGTTTACTAATATACCAAATATGTTGTCTGAGTTTGGTGTAATCTGATACCTCACAGAGAAAAGTAATCTCTAGTTTCTGAGTTTTAACCTCTAAGTAAGCAAGATTTTCGATAGTTACAAGTCTGATTTGGTTGTAGATTTTGTTTTTGTGAACTCCATATCCATGTTTTCCACCAAACCAGTTATTGATAACCTTGAAGGTTGGATGAATTTTTCTCCAAGGAGAATTTTCAGTTTCTTGTTCAAAGTTTTTAACAGACATTTTTAATTTTGAAAGAAATTCAATAACATTTATTTATATAAAAATTTGATATAACAAATAGAAAAAATTTATAAAAATTTAAAATATATAAATACTGTATTATTCATGTATTTTAAAAGAAAAATGGTTTTAAAAAAATTAGAATCAAGCAAAAAAATTCGCTGTTTCAACTGTCGAATTCTTGGAAAACCATGCTTATATAATAATAATAATGAAAAATGTGATGTTTGTACAAGAAGAAATACAAACTGTATTAAAGTATATCCGAAGCATTTCAAACATAAAATTGTTGAATTATCAAATAAAGTACAAAGTCTTGAAGAAGAAAATTCTAAATTAAAAAATAGAGTTCTTAAACTTGAAAAAAATGAATTAATTGTAAAACAGAATCTTAAGAATATTTTAACTATATTAGAATAAAGAAGATTAAAATTTTAATCAAGATTTTAACCTTAATAAATACTATAAAAAATATATTTTCTTTTTTTTTTTACTTAAATTTATTATTAAATAAATAAATCAATTTTTTTTTGTAATTTTTCTACTTATAGAAATATATAATTTATTTATTAGTATTAAATTAAATTTTATTTATAAATAAAGATAAATTTTTCTTTAGTAAAATTGATGTCTTTTTTACCAGAAGAAATAATTGAACGAATAATTTATTTTTATTCAGAATCATTAATTTTTAATGATCATTATGAAAGTATTGATTCAAAACAATTTCCAAAGTGACTTATTGATAATATTCGTTTTGTATCACATGATTTTAAACAATCATTTGAATATTCATTCAGAAAGATATATTTTGAATTCTATCATATAAATGAAGTTACTATTCTATCTAAATTATCATTAAAATTTATAAAATGATGTAACTATTTTAATCTATCAGATAAAATAGTTGATTTTTTAAAACAAAAAGAATATGAAGAATTAAATTTTTATAAATCAATTGTTTTAAATACTATAATTGATTGCAATCGATCTGTTGAGATTATATTTACTAGTTTATTCATAAAGATTGGAATCTTTAAGATTTTTTCTTTTGGTACGAATTTTAGTTTTAATAAAGAATGTAATTGTATTAATAATGAATTTTGTTTGATTTTTAAACAATCAAAAGATAAAAAATTTTGGTATTATACATGTAGAAGATGTCAATTTTATGAAGTAGAAATTAATTATTCAAAAAGAAAATCTAAAAATAAATCTATAAAAAGAAAAAGAGTTAAAATTTAATATAAATATAACCATCATTAATTTTATTCAATAAAAATGAAATTATTTTATCTATTTTTGTATTTTATTATTTTTGTATCAATTATTCATCAATTAGAAATATATGCTTCATGTTGTCAACAATCTAATCAATTTACATATAAAAATTCATATTCATCAAAAACTATACGAAGATGTAGCTGTTGTAAAAAAACAGGACATAATATACGAACATATAAAAATAAATGTTTGTAAAAAATATATAAATATATATTGGTAACAAAGAATATTTATTTTAAATTAATAAAATGAAAAAAGAAGAAATTTTATATTATTACAAAGTTTTGGGATTAAATGAACGAGCAACTGATGTAGAAATTAAAAAAACTTATAGAAAATTAATTTTGATTTGGCATCCTGATAAAAATATTAATAACAAAGAAGAATCTGAAAAGAAAACAAAAGAAATTACTGAAGCTTATAGAATAATCACAGAATACAGAGAGAAATTTAAAAGAACAAAAGATAAAAAAACCAAACCAAAAAAACAACCAAAGCCAAAGAAACAACCAAAAAAACCAAA